AGCAAATTCTGTATATGTTCAGTATGGCCTTGAGGTCGACTCAGCCTCTGAGTACCAGGAATATTCTTGGGAGTAAAGGGCGGCCGGTGCGTAAGACTGACAGCCTCACAGCCATCTGTGAGCCGATTGTCTAAATAATGTGCAAGCCTCAATGTCTCAGAACCCTATAGGCCTCCACGGTCTATTACAGGGATAGTTTTACCTTTTTTATAACTGCCAGCGCGTAAAGCTTACAGCAATCTGTGGGATGATTGTCTAGATAATGTGGGAGCCTCGACGTCTCACAACCATATGGGCCTCCACAGCCTGTTACACGGATAGCTTTCATGTCTGCGCTATTGTGAGGAACGTTTGAAAGAAGAACTTAGAAAGGGACACAAATATTCTAAGGTTATGGCGTTCCCAGTGCTTCTATATGGTACCGAAACATGGACGTTGAAGAAGAGAGACTCGAAAAGAATTTGAGAAACAGAAATGAATTACCAAAGAATTGTCAACAGTTGGACTAGAGCAGACCAGTTAAGAAATGAGCGTAAAGGAAACGCGTTGTGTGTCTTCCCTTAGTGAGAAGAAATTACAGAACATAGAAGTAAATGGAAAACATGTTTCTAAATCATGGAAACGTCTCGCATTCCACTTCAAGCCTATTCCTCAGTTCATCCTGCCTTTGTATATTATATACTGAGGATCGGCATAAGCCACGAGTAATTCAATGAATACGCAAAAACAAAAATCCTATGTAAGATTTGAGGCTTTCACGGCGGTGACTATGAAGAAAGCAGTCTTCTGGGATTTGGCACCGTGTATATGTGGTGTTAACCGACGTTTCGGAGGAACGTATCGCCGCAGCTTTTACCGGTTCTCACGGTCTCTTCGCTTGCGGATTTCTTATATTTTTCCTTCTACCCTGAAGATGGAGGCGATACGTTCCTCCGCAACGTCGGTTAACACCACATATACACGGTGCCAAATCCCAGAAGACTGCTTTCTTCAAATAAAAATCCTACTTCATTAAGAACACACTGGGTCTCCATTGCAAAGACAGATCGGTTAAGTCCCTTTAGGGAATAGTCACTTTTTATTCTGAGAATCACAACTAACAAAATAAATAACTAATTACCCAATTGACTAACTAACTAACCGACAGACCGACCGACCGACGAACGAACCAACAAACCAACCTCGTGGAGATGAACCCTTCATGAAAACCCGCCAGTTGCGCAGATGCTCAAGAATTTCCGAACATCTTAT